AGGCAGTATCACTACGGAAGTAGGATTGCCCAACCTTCCTTCCGAGGAGTTGCTGGTGGGTTTGAACCGCCAGCTGTCTGGTTAGCAGGCAAGTGTCTTAGCCACTATGCTACCAGAGTTCCGAGGAAATCCACACTGACTCCGCTCACAATCTGCAAAACAGCCACATCTCTATTTATCTATATATGTATTATATATAATATGTATGTTTATATACTTCTGTATCTATGTAGATAGAGAAAATTAGCCTGTTTCTAGTTTTCCACTAAACATAAAAAAGCAGGATGCAAGAAAAAAAATGTTTTCACTTGAATTAGAATGCAAACACAATGAATTCAGAACAACAGAAAACCCACAAATGCACAGGCCATGTGATGATGCATTAATATGCACAAAGCATAGCTCACCTCCACCCCCAGATTCAGGAGGTGTTTGACAACATTGATCTGCCCATTGGAGGCCGCAGCATGCAGTGGTGTGTAACCCTTCTTATCCTTACATGTCACTTCAGCGCCATGGTTAATGAGCAATGCGACAACGTCCAGGTGGCCTTTACAAACAAAGCAGCAGAAAACATCGTTAACCTTTATTGGATCATTTGACGATTCATTTCCCCTAAATCATCACTATTAGCTTTTATTACCACCAGGATTTTGCTGAACCATTTATAAAAGCTAGTTCATGGCAAATATTCAACAAATATTTATTGAGTACCTACTATCTATCAGACATTATATAATGGTTGCAGGAAAAGAAAGATGATCCCAATGTGAGCCTTCTCTTCAAGGAGACTTGGTAAAAAGAGCTGATGTCTGTCCACAAGTAATGACAAGGCTAGGCCAATGTGTTTGTTCCACAACCTAAGAACAGTGTGTTATAAATGAAAGCAAAGCTTTTGCCATGCCTCACTGAAAAGTCTAGCAATGACTATTTGGTTTGGAAAAACAAATGAAAGAAAAGTCAGTGAATCAGAACTCAGGATTATTAGGTTGACTCCCATGAAACTGGTGCTGCTCAACTGCTTTTTGGCTACAAAATGGCAATTTCATATGGTTCAGCTTAACGGCATATTCATCAATTGGTGGCTAAACAGCAAATTCTTCACGTTTCAACTCCTGTTAAATTCTTCTAGAATATTTTCCTTTGTTTCCTATCTTACTACATAATACACGTATTTGACCCTTCTTCCGTGACTACAGATTATTCAGTGCTTCAGGGGCACTGCTTAAAACATGGATAATATTTGAAAGAAAGCAGATGAGTATTGATCCTAGGACCTGCTATGAAAATGGTTTTGTAACATGCGTGCATGTGAGTGTGTGTGTGAGAGAGAGAGAAAGAGAGAAAGTCTCTGTGTGTGTCCTTGGTATTAACTTGTTTTATTAAAGTTTTACTGTTCTCCCTAAGACATATATAAAAAGAAAAAAAAAATCAATTACTAGTGGTATTATCTCAAGCTCTTTGTCCTGGTTTTGTTCTACTACTCCCTAAAGATAGTCATCTTTAGATTTTCACCTGTTTGTATCCTGATGATACATAAAATAATGGCTTTACTTCTTTAAAGCAATTCTGCTCAAATGTTTAGTGATCCATCAGCAGAGGACAAAACACAATCCCCCAACCCAGTTCCTCAAGTCTCATCTCACACTAGCACAGTGTGTGCTCTGCTTGAACATCCATCTGCTGAGGAACGTTCACTAGCTCCAGTCCTCCAGACACCAACCAACTAAAACATACACGGCACCTGAAAAACTGGTAATGTCTGCCAAAGTCTAAGATTCTGGTATATTAAGTGCAAGGATTCATTCAGCTCAATCTATAGTCACATAATTTATTTTACCCTATCCTAATCTGCCTTCTCTTTTTCTCCACACAATTAACATTACCATCTTTTTTTCTGGTGATAAAAGGCATTCACACTTGTTAAAAATAAATAAATAAATAAATAAACCTCACTGCCATCAAGAAAATGTAAAAATATAAAAAGGTATTAAAAGGAAACCCAAAATCACCCATAGGCACCAAACCCTGAGGATAATCACTGTTAAAAATTTGTCATATATTTTCTATATTTATTTGTTTTATAGATTTTTTTTTTAAATAAAGATTGTACTATTCACATTGTTTATAACATCTTTTTTCACTTAATGTATCACAACTATCTTTCTATGTTAAGAATCTTTCTATGTTAAGAAATACTGATTGACATCATCATTGATTAACTGCCTAGTGTCCCATTGTGTTGATCTTCCATAATTTACCAAACCAATCTCCTTGGATGGCCATTCAGGTTACTTATAACTCTGTGCTGATATAATCCTGTTTTCCTTTCTAATTGCAAGATGCTTTCCAATTAGAAACACAAAGGAAGGATCTTTGTTCGTTTCCACTGAGGATAATCTCTGTAAGGTCTATCATTTTTCAGAAGTATTTGTGCCAACAAAAATGAAAAGGAAAAACATAGAAATGTAACTTCTTCCCTCATCTCCCTCACTAGAGTTGCATACTCCTGCTTTGCTGGCAGTGGTTGTTGTTGTTGTTATGTGCCGTCGAGTCAAACCCAACTCACAGAGACCCCTCCTTGTCCAAGGCAGTATCACTACGGAAGTAGGATTGCCCAACCTTCCTTCCGAGGAGTTGCTGGTGGGTTTGAACCGCCAGCTGTCTGGTTAGCAGGCAAGTGTCTTAGCCACTATGCTACCAGAGTTCCGAGGAAATCCACACTGACTCCGCTCACAATCTGCAAAACAGCCAGGGGTTTGTCCTTTCTCTCTTCATTCTTGTTTCTTTTGAAAATATTTATAAATAAAAAGACAAATGGAATTTGTATCCTGGCTGTGATAGCCAGTCCTCTTTCTTTTTTAAACACCTTACTTTCCTGCCACAGCAAGTTAAAATAAGCACAGTTTGTGCAGCTTTCCAATCTAGATTGAATCACATTCAATGAGGTCCAAGCCATGATTCATCCCTCCTCTTTGTAGGATAAATAAATCTCTAATAAAGCAACTGTCCATAGAATGCTCCATGCACGCCAGTAAAATGGACAGAAGCTTAATTCAATTGGGACCAAAGCTTTAATGAAGGTCAGACTTGTACAAGAGAAAATCTACATGGGCAATGAGAGATCTTGGCCTATTAAGTAAGGTTCTCCTCACTTTCCTTCCCGTATGTGGCCTCCTTACCCATATATGCAGCCCAGTGCAGAGCACGCCGATCCTTCTTGTCAAAAGCATTGATGTTGGCCCCTTTGGCCAAGAGTAAATTGACCATCTGAAAGATAACCAATAACAAAATCAAGTGTGCAGTCTGTAATGGGGAGAGCTCCTCGCTGTCTGTAGGTGATCTGAGCCAAATTGACATCAATTCTAAAGTCAGGTTGGAGATTTTTAATTCAAAAAAGTAGGAAGATGTTGACATAGCAGACCCTGTTGCATGTACATCAGAGGAAAACACTGAGGTGATGGCTGACTTTTTCAATTCATTGTGGCTGTGCATTATAAATATAGATCCAAAAACAAAAACCAAACTCACTGCCATTGAGTTGATTCCGACTCAAAGTGACCCCCATTGGGTTTCTGAGGCTATAAATCTTTCTGGAAGTAGCTTGCCCCATCTTCCTTCTGTGGAGCAGCTGGTGGGTTTGAACTGCTGACCTGATTAGCAGCCAGATGCCTTATCCACTATGCCACCAGAGCTCCTTTAAATGTAGATAGCTAACTAAAATTTTGATCTACAATATTATCACAGTCCCTAAAAGTCTCAGCAATAAGACTAGATTTCACTTGGGGCTAAGTCATTCCCAGTGCTGAAGACACCCACCTCCACATGGCCATTCAGAGCCGCATGGTGCAAGGCTGTCCGTCCCCCTCTGTCAGAGACATTGACGCTGCTCAGCAAGGGAATGATCACTTCTGCACACTTGACAGCCTTATTGGCTGCTGCCACATGGAGGGGGGTCTGCCAGTTCTTGTCCCTCGCATTGACATCAGCTGAGTGCTTAATCAATACTTGTACTGCTTCCTAAAACAAAAGCAGAGTTTGCAGAGGTCACTAATAAATGTTTAATCAATATTTACCAGGTGTAGATGCTTTGCCAGAACCTGGATAGGTAAAGAGAAAAGGAATTCTCCTGCTCTCACAGGCTGGCTCAGGATGCATATTCTTCTAAGACAAATAAAGTAATGTGCCAAATATCAAGAGTGGCACAAATTAAGACAGTGAGTTGGTTTCACTTTATCTTTCTTTGTTAAGCCAAGAGCCCTGGCACATCTCTAAAACAAAAGAAATATGTAAGTATAAGGTAGCCTTAGACCAAATAAGAGCATTCAAGTGCAAGTGTGCACATACAGGATAAAATATTCATAGGCCAGTGCGTCTCCAAAAGAACATTTAAGATTAGAGAGTTCTGTCAATAAGCCTCCAACTTCCAAAGCAAAAATGAAACAGAGCCCTTCAGATATTCTTAAGTTGATTCATAAACCTTCAGTTCTCTTTGCCACTGTCTTAACCCCTTGAGTCATCTATAAAGGTGAAGGGAAAAGTATGTCTGTTACTGTCTCATTTTGAAGCTATGACATTGTTCCATCTTGTCCCAACATTTTCCAGGCTAAACTTGGTACTTTCTTAAACCACTGTTGAGCTCCTTCACAGTGAGCCTTTATTGAGCTTTCCATGTTTTATTTTCCTCCTACTGAGACCCACCCAATTCACTAGACTCTTGACCTATGACTGTCAACCCTGACTGCACAATGGAATCACCTGGAGAATTCTTGAAAATACCAACGCCAGGGTCTCACCCCCAGAGATTCTAGCTGATCTCAGTATTTCTGTAAATCTCTCCAGAAACTCTATTGTACAGCCATGGTTGAGGATCACTCTTCTGTTCAGTCAAGTGTATGATATAGCTCCTCAAGAAGGGAATGACTCTCAGTTGCTTCTCTCTACTTCTTAAAACTTCCCTGGAGCCATTTAGTGGGGATCCTTCATGAACATCTGGCCAATATGGCATCAAGAATACAACAAAAGGTATTAGTACCACACTGCTGTCTTATTCATGAAACAAGAACTCACCCTTATTAACTTCAATCTTAGATTGAGATTGCCCAATCTATCTCATCATGAACCAAGCCAAACCCACTGCCATCAAGTTGATTCTGACAAATAGTGACCCTATAGGACAGAGTACAACTGCCCCATAGGGTTTCCAAGGCTCTTAATCTTTATGGAAGCAGACTGCTTCATCTTTCTCCCATGGAGCAGCTGGTGGGTTTGAATGTCAATCTATTGGTTAGCAACTGAATGCTTTAACCACTGCACCACCAGACCTCCTTACTTAATCATACAGGTATATAAATGTGCCCCAGATTTGAGTTCAATAAATTTAACACATTGATCAGAAACATAAATGGTGAAATAAAAAGAATGTTCCATGAATCACTAGTAGCAATATATTGAGGTGAATGGCTAAGTTGGACAATAAAATCAGAGCAAAAAGAAAATGACTTTGCAAATTAGAAAATACAGTTTAAATAAATAGTATGTTACTTTTTTGAATGATCAAAATTTCAAAGTATCAAATTGGGTTAAAATAAATCTTACTATTACCAGGAGCTCTGGTAGCATAGTGGCTAAGGCACTTGACTGCTAACCAGAAGGCTGGTGGTTCAAACCCACCAGCCACTCCTCGGAAGGAAGATGGGGCAATCTACTTCTGTAGTGATACTGCCTTGGAAACCCAAGGAGGGGTCGCTATGAGTCGGGTCCGACTCCATGGCACATAACAACAACAACAACAACATTTACCAGTACAGAGTCTCCATGAGTCACAATCAACTCAGTGGCACACAACAACAAACAACAGTATGATGGGGAAAAAATGCTGTTTAAAACCAAATAGCATTCTCAGGAGGGCAGGGCCCATTAAAAGAGTCAATAGGCTCTGTGCTGAGCAGGGCCCTTGCTGTGCAGGGGTGGGTCTAGAATGAGTTTAGGAGGGAGGTATACAGAGCTGCACTGTTCTAATGGAGTCAGAAGTATTTTCTCCACAAGAAGAAAGAGATGAGGAAAAAGTGGAGACACAAGACACAGGCCCTGAGCCCCGGGGTACATCTGGCAGAGGTGTAAGAGGGGATTGCTGAGGAATAAACCAAACTAATTCAACAAAAGCAGGCTTGGGGAGTCAGGTAACCGAAAATTCAAAACTCCAGGGATTTTTTTTAACATTGGGAGAATATTAGTCTTTGCACAAATGTGCAAACATTCTATATGTTTAGAAGGCCATATGTATACATCTAAGTACACAAATTATGTATGTGCGGTGTAGTAAATTACTTAGTGTGGCTTTTCTACCCATAAGTCTTTGTAAACTCCAAGGTGGGATTTTCTATGAGCAACTGAGGAGCTCCTGATTGCTGAAGTTGTCCACCTGGAGTATTTCTGTTGGGCGTGGCACAAAACAATGTTCTGGGAGGTGCCCACTTTCTCTCAGATGCTTAGAGTTCTGATGCTATAATTGGCTAGTTTGACCACCCTGCCAGGCTCAAAAGGAGGCCTCCTAGAGGCAGAACTCTCTGACTGCTGGTTGAGGAAGACGTGTTGCTGAAAGAGACAGGTGACCCGGAAAGAGACACGTGCTGCTGGGAAAGAGATGCAAGAGACACGCATTGCTGAGTGAGACACCGAGGGACCAGCAGTGCTGGGAAAGAGACTTTGAGAGATTGTTGGCTGAGAGACAGTGGGCTGGGAGAGAGACTGAGCGTTCTTCCTGAACTTGAGTTGTAGTCTGGTGCTTCCCTAATAAACCCCATAATCCGTGAGTTCTGTGTGGCCACTGCAGCGAATTATCGAACCCAGGAGAGAGGTGGTGGGTGCTTTGGGAGGAATGGTTGGTGAAAGGGCTGGAGGGAGGCAGCATGTCTGGCTTTGTAGGAATAGGCCTTGGGTTACTGCTGGTAATCCTGTCTTCCTCTCGTGGGATTAGAGGAGGTCGGAAGATGTGGCCTCCTTGCCGTTTTTGCAGTATGTTTATTGACCCTGGACAATATCTGGGTTACATCTAAAAATCAAAAAACAAAAAGTTTCAAGTACATTTAATCAGATGGGAAAGAAAGAAGAAGCAGTAAGGTCTCTAACAAATCTCTTTTCACGTGAACTTCAGGCAATGTCCATGTGAATGCCAATTTTACCCAGTTGCCTTTTCGATCAACACTCACTTTTGTACCTCAAGGATACTTAAAATAGCCATTCATTTCTCTATTTCTGTAAAATGTTTCAACTCTGCCATTTCTCCATTTTTATTTATCTGTTTATGTAGTGAACTGCACAGTTTTCATTTTACTAACAGCAAGGCACTATGTAGAGAAATATTTGCATGCAAAGGAAGGGTTCTTAATTTCCAACTATTAACTTTAAAAAAGATGAAAATACAATAGTCTAAAATGATTATGAAGATAGCACAGAACCAGACAATGTTTCATTCTGTTACATACATAAAGTCACCATGAGTCAGAGCCGACTTGGTGGCAACTAACTACAACAAAATGATTATGGAATTAAATACTCAGACCTACAGAGTATTAGAAATGGTGGCAGCCTTAGGGGTTTTCTATCTGGTCTGACAGTTCATTTTATAGGCAAGATGACTGTAGTACAGGGCACCGGCCTGTCATTTTCTGCTGGGGCAAAGCTTACTCAGTGGACAGTGTCAGCCAAGCATCCTGACACAAATACTTTCAAATACTAATTCTCTTTCACGGAAGAAAGATAAGGCAGTTGGCTTCCATAAAGATTTACAGCCTTAGAAACCCTCATTGTATAGAACTTTAAGCTTTGAAGTCTTCTTTATTCATTGTCCCACTCTCACATGCATGTGAGGCAACTGAAGATACCATGGCTTAAGTAAAGAGCACATTAGTCTTCAAGGAGACATCTTTGCTCTTCAGCACTTTAAAGAGGTCCTTTGCAGCAGATTTGTCCCAGTGCAATGTGTTGTCTGATGTCTTGGCTGCTGCTTCCATTGGTGTTGATTGTGGAACCAAGTAAGATTCCTGGGCCAAACTAAAGGCTTCATCAGGATCTCTAGGGATGAGGTCCTAGAACAGGTACTCTCAACAAGCACCCCAGATGATGTTAATACACATTAAATCTAGGTATCATATGCTAACTGTTGTTGTTTGTGGTTATGTGCTGCTGAGTCGGACCCAACTCATAGTGACCCCTCCTTGGGTTTCCAAGGCAGTATCACTACGGAAGTAGATTGCCCAACCTTCCCTCCGAGGAGTGGCTGGTGGGTTTGAACCACCAGCCTCCAGGTTAGCAGTTAAGTGCCTTAAGCACTACACTACCAGAGCTCCCCATATGGTAACTAATAGATTAAAAAATGCTTTCTTTCTTCCCATTCCAGATGTGATTAATTATTTATATGTAAGGATTTTTCTTTATAATCATGAAAATAATTTAAAGAAAGCAATAATATCCTAGCCATCAGATCAGACTTTCCTATTCTCTTATTTAGTAGCCGTTAGTTCACAATAATGATGATGTTTTTTTTTAGAGGAAAGGGGAAAATATGTTTTTAAAATGTAAGGTATAAAATAAAAAGCTTATCCTGTTCAGCTCTGAGACATCGTACATCCATTGGGATTTCTGCCTGCACAGAAGCCAAAAATAGACCCATTTTATGGGTTGGAACAGTATCCACATAAGAGTACTTACGTGATTTGAGGGAGGCAGTATAGCGTTGTGGCTAACAAAGTGGGTTCTCTTGTCACACTCTCCTGTACTTAGTACTGGCTGTTTCTTTCCTCTTAGGATCATAACTTCACTCCTCTGAGATTACATTTCCTAAATTAATAATGGTAACTATCTCAAAGGGAGACTCAGAGACTAAAATGAATAACACACAGAAAGCATTTAGCATTCTGCCTGGCACAAGTAAGTGTTCGATAAATGCTCATGATGACAACACTTACATGAGCACAAGACCCTCAATCCTGAAGACAGGACACAACTGTTTTGAACTC